TGTTTGAAAAGATAGGTGAGATAGCACAATCATCTGTATAGCCAGACACAGTTGCAAATATTAGGGTTGCAACCTGAAGCATTTAGAACACAGAACACAGAATAATAGAGTTGGAAGGTCGGGTTGGAAAGCTTCCCCCAGATCAAACGGATCGACTGCTGTCATTCCGCAATTAGCGGGGGGGCTATCCTTCGTTGCCTCTCCGGGGCGACTTTCGACCCATTTAGGGTCCCCTGGCTGATAAGAATGGTTTGAATACTGAGGGGAAAACAAGCTTATATAAGAATCTTGAAAACAGTACACATAGTGATTTAAAGATGACTTTTACAAATACAGTTGAAACATAAGTCGATCAGAAAAGATGCTACAGTATATGTTGATGTTATTTTTATTTGTACAAACATAAGAAAAATGTTTTTCTCCAACCTTGTATGTATCGAAAGTATTATGCATTATATTTGTTTAATGTTGACAAAGGAGAATACTACTGGAAGAAGAGAAGATCAAGGAAATATATCATCAACTAATATATTACTAATATATTGATTATGGAATTATAGAAATTAATAATTGTTTTCAAATAAATGAACCCAGTCAACACACTGTTTACTAAGCACTAAAGAGTGCTATTGTAAAAAACCAATAAAATATATTTTAAAAAAACATATTAGTAATCTCATGGCAGGGTTTTAGGAGAAAAATCTAGGATCCTGTTCAGCAAGTGCACGCTAGAAATCTCCCAGTATTGGATGAGCAGTTTGCATTTTGAATAAGTAAAGTAAGACGCACTAAAGTAAATATAACATGCTTCTCTATGGCTTAATATGCTGTATATTATGGTGATTGGTTAATATATCAAGATTTAAGGATTGTTGCAGAGGTGAGAAACATTTTAATAATCAAAGTCCACAATTAACAATTTGGGGAGGGGGAGTTGCAAGTAGGAAGTGACCAATTACTTTAGTGAGTCTGGGTAAGGAATCCTACAGTCTGAGAGATCTGAAATTTAAAGACAGGGAAAGCTACATATCAGAGTCAAAGAATTAAGCTGAAAAACTGAGCCAAAACTAATTGGGGTGTGTTTGTGTGAATAAATAAGAAATTGGGAGAAATAGAGAGTCCTTTCCTGGCAGGCTTTAGTGAAGAAGAATGAGATTTGTTGTTAGGCTTCTCTTTACTGCAAGATTAAATTCCAAGGACACAAAATGTTTTGATAAATTATTGTAGAAAAGCTCATGAAACCATTAACTAAAGAATTCTAATGATTGTTGTGTATCAAATGCAAGTCCTATTTATAGTGAAATCAAACTTCAAATTCTTGTACTTTGTGGCCTGTGTTGTTGTTACAGTCCTAAGCTCACCCTCTTTTTGATGAGATTTCCATCTCTTTTCTTTTGGTAACAGATTAATTTTGTATCAGACTGTTTGCTTGTGACCTTGTAAGTATTGGTTTCCACAGTTATAAAAAAAAATCACAATTCTTCAGTATTTTGCTTGGATTTTTTTTCAATTATCTGTTTGTAAGAGTGCCATTTGAAGTTTTAATGCATAAAGCTTCAAGGCTCTCGGATCAAGAAAGCTGATTGGTTTTTTTTACCAACATGATTCCTTAACATCAATTTATTAGCATTTTCTTTGTATTTGATCTCAAATAAAGTGGATAGATAGTAGCTGCATCTATTGTTCTGCTGTGTCTTTTTAAAAAGGAAGTGTCTAAGGATCAAAATATAAGATGACCTGGCCTTCACAAATGGCTTTGTCTATCAGGAACTAGAACAGGAGTAGGCAACGTTGGCTCTTTTATGACTTGTGGACTTCAACTCCCAGAATTCCTGAGTCAGCCTTGCTGACTCAGGAATTCTGGGAGTTGAAGTCCACAAGTCATAAAAGAGCCAGCGTTGCCTACCCAAGAACTAGAACAACCCTGGGTCTAGAAAATAATTGGTAGTTATATGTGATACTCAGTTATTTTGCATTTATCTTTTTCCATGATAAATATTTCCGCTCTATATTTCCAAGTGTGAAGTCATAAAACATAGAATATCAGTACTATATAGTGCATGCTACCTTGTATTTTAGGGTCTTCAAACTTGGCAATTGTAAGAGTTGGCAACTTGGCAGCGTGGCTGGCTGGGGAATTCTGGGAGTTGAAGTCCACAAATCTTAAAGTTGCCAAGTTTGGAGGCAGGCCTGGGTTTGGTTGCATGCGGTGGCCGAAATAGGTTTAAACTGCTAGCACTGTTTCTGCACTGTTACCAGGGAACTCTGCATTTAACACAATATTATGTGAAAGCTTTAATTACTAAGTCATGATGATTAGCAAAGTATTCTTTGTATCAGTATCCTTCTCTTGCCCTTCTGCTTTCCCCCTTTTACTGTGTGTTGTACAGAACAAAATAAAACTGTAATTATTTTCCAAGTTCTCAGTAACTGCTTTCTCTTCCTTCCAGCTCCCCTCAGCCCCCGCACACACACAGAGTGCTTTTTTCTTGGCATAAAAATTAGTGTTAAGGCACCATGCAAGAAACCAGAAGACTGAGTCCCAGTTCTGCTTAAGCATGAAAGCCAGCTGGGTGACTTTATGCCAGTCATTCTCTCTAAGCCCAACAAACCTCATAGGGTGGCTGTGGTGGGGAAAAACTGGAGGAGGAAAAGAGCATTAATTATATTTGCCACTTTGAGTTATTTATAAAAATAATAAAAGCAGGATAAAGATAAATTAAAATAAAACAAACTACATATTGAATTTCCACCTGTGGTTCATTGTAAACTGCTGGGGTAGAATGTCAAAAATGCCTTTTAAATTTGTCCCCAATCCCCTTTTTCTAAATGTGTATCTTGCCCTTATATCCCTAGCATCTAAATTTAACACTTGCAGAGATTAAATCAAATGGATCTGGAGAATGAAGGACAAAAAAAAAAAAAAACATGTTACATGAAATAATCTTTACTTAATAGTAGAGTGTTAAGGGCATAAGACTTTAGAAGCTCTTGCAGCTTCTGAAAAAGAGAGTGAACACTGAGACAACATTCCAATCTTATTCCCATAATAAATGAAAAATATTATTTCACCTTTTCAACACAGTGGATAATTTCAGTGTGCTTTGCCAAGCCATTTCTCTTCAAGTTACAATGCATTTATTTCTGTTAGCACTTTTGCTCACATTCCTTTTGTCAGACAGATTTGCAGTATAAGCCTAAGTGTTGTGATCTGTTTCATATTCATTCTCTGCCCTTTAAAAGGATCTCGGCTCATTTTAAAGTTGTTTGCTTTATATGTGTAGTACTACTTCTTGCCCTGGAAAAAAAAAATCTACTTCCTTTCATACAGAACTATGAAGCAAGCTATCTATGCCAGTATACTATGAATAGATAATTATTTTTTCTTAAAATCCATTTATGTATTTATTTATTAGATTGATTTTCCACCCATCTCACCACAAGACAACTCTGGATGACTTATAGTGTACAAAAGAAGGTTATCCCACCTTCTTTTCCAACAGAATACATTGTGTTGTCCCAGCAGCTAAGACTTTGAGCTGATCCATAAACAAAATTGGGAACATTAAAAAGCTTTTTTAAAATACACCTGTACATAAACTAATAGGATGATTTAAAAAAACTAATCTTTGTTGCCAAATTAAATGGAGGATCCTAATCACTTCTTACCAATATTAAAATAAAATTAGTACTACCCTACCCCCAGCTTGTGTTCTATATTTCCAACAATATAGAGCAGTAGACCGTGTGGTGTTGTGGTTATTTATCTAAGGCATCTAGAGCTTTAGAGAAATGTGTGTGGTAGTTTACCGATATGTTTTGCTGCAGGCTGTTTTTATTTTCCAAATTGTTAAAGCTGCCCTTTGTGACTGAATGTAATTGGACGGGTATTTTAAATTTATTTTCTACTGTGTATACATGCATTTATTAAGCCTGTGCTGTTCGTCACAGGCTTAATAAATATATATATTATTGCTCAACAAATTTCTTGGGGAACCAGTAGTGGACTTCTTTAATTCCCTGAAGTATTTCGCTGCACAGATTCACTCCAGCATATCTCCTTATAGTTCAAAGTGCAAAAAGTTCAGCATGCCAGCATCCTTTCTCTGGGCCCTTAGAGGAACTTAAAATTGACCCACTTTTTTTTCATATATGGGTTGCTTTTGTAGAGTTTAAGAAAAAAAAATTAGGGCTTGAGTGTTGCAGGCATTTTATTTATTTATTAGATTTATATGCTGTCCATTCGAAGAGTCACCTCTTTCATCCCTGAGCTTTGTAATCCCATCAATACTTAAGTCCTAACTCTAGCCAAATCCCATTGCAACCCTTCAGCCAATGGACATTGCACACACCTGCTATAGCAACCAGGCATTTTAGGATCACTTTCAACCAGCTATGCAAATATTTGCCAGTTGTTCTTTGCTATGAAAAACTGAGTTTAACCATGTGCCATCTTTTTCACGTTTCATCAAGACTGTGAGCTTGACCAGCAAAATCCATCAGCCAAACTGTCCTTCCTCCTTCAACAGCCACAATTCTCACCCTGGCCTAATTTTGCAACCTTTTCCGAGGCAAATTCTAGACGGCCATAGCAGCCACAGGAATATTATGGCCCATGATAATGTTGCCATCTCCTCTTCTCCCTCCAAGTGACCCTGTTTTCCTTTGCATCACAATTCTTCTTCCTTGTCCTCTTTGCTAGATCCCTGCCTTTCCCAAGTCATCCTCTGTCAGGATCCCAAAATGCTAGATGCACATTAGATGGCGCTCAGAATGCAGGCAACTATTTTCTTTAGTAAGTCTAAAGTGGGGAGGAGGGACTGGTCACAACTCAAAGTCTGGGGCACATCGATGTCTTTGCCATATTAAAAGCCCTGGAATGTTCTGCCCTGCTCTGCTTGCTGAGCATTCCACAAGCCTTTCTCCTGACTGGTTACAAGAGTAGCTGACAGAATCAGGGCCTTTGTGAGGCAGAGTCTCAGTTGCTAGGATACCTAGAGCTGCAGTTAAACAAACGCCCCAGTCCTGACTTAATGCAAGGGCCCATCGTGAGTGGGAGCTGCGTGAAGATCCTGACTGAGCCTGGTGTGACTGTCCCAAAACAGCAGCTGGGCACTCTTCGCAAAGAGGCTGAGACGTCTCAGCCTCCGGTAATTGAGGAAAAGGAAGGAACTGGCCATCTGGACCATACTTCTTAACCTGCTTTGCTTCTCCTTGAAAGTAAAAGAACCTGTTGGATGCAAAGCCTATGGCAGGCATTGAGGAGGAATTTATCATTGGGGGGAAGGTGGTGGAACAGCTGCCAGGTGGTTGATAGGACTAAGGAAGTCAGGTTGATGAGAACGGGATAGAGCAAGCGCAAAATATACATGTGCAAATGGGCAAGTGTAAATGGGTCATGCTAAGTAGGCACTGGAAAAAAAATATATATTTCTGCAAAAATCACTTCAGCCATATTGCACCACATTCTTCAGCCATATTGCATCATATTCTTCAGCCAGATTGCAAATATTCTTCAATTTCTTGAGTTCCATCTTTCCTTTAGCTATCTTTAGGATAGCTGTAGGGTTGGGTAATTGATGCATGCAGCCAGCCAAATTCATCATTCAAATTTAGTGGATTCCCATTTGCTCAATCATAAACCAAACCATAGCATGTATCTGGAAATAGGCAAGATTTTCTATAAAAAGGAAGTAGCAGCTGGCTTTTGCATTGTGCATAAAAGCAGAACATGTTCTCTTTTTCCCCTCCTTAAACCCAATTATTAGTATCCTTCCTTGTATTGGGATAATTCTTTACTCAACATTTAAGCATCTGGAGAATACAAGAGTCATTCAAGAAGATTTACATCTTCTGGTTTAGAGGAATATTTGTCTGAGGAAAGAGTATTTCTTCAACAGGAAAGTAGCTAGGCACGGAAACAACTATATACCTTTCCTTTTTAGTAAACCTGAAAGCACTGCCTCATATATTCATATAATCATTTCTGTATACCTGTTTATGATCTACATTCCTTTCCATAAAGCTGTTCTATCCAGGTAGTTGCAGCAAATCTCAAAAAAAATTCCTCCTGTTTATTCTAGATCTTGTTGCAATTCCACCTGTATAGCTTAACAAAAAACCCCACATTTCTTTTTGACAAACTGCAGGAACTTTAATAGCCCTTTACATACCAATTAATCTAAAATATTTTGAGAGGGATTTGTCAAAAGGAGATATTTCACAGACAGAACATTTGAAAGATTATGCAAAGTTTCAAATCTGAATGACTACCAGAGCAACAAACAAAAAAACAAAGCTAAAATTAAAGCCAAGCAGGAAAACAAATGGATAAGAATTATCAGATCACAAAGAAAAAATTTAAAAAAAAAGAATTATCAGATCACTTTATGTGACTGTTTCTCTTTTATTGATTTGGTTTATTTTCAATAATTAGTTAGATGCCAGCAACTTGAGTGAAACCTCTGGTGATTATATGGACAGATGCTTGCCATCTCAACCTGTTTTTAATAAATAAATTGTAGCTCTTCTAATGACAGTCCTGTAAGTTCTTTGAGCCTGTCCGTCCACTTTAGTCATCTTTTCTGCTTCTAATAATGTTGCCAAGTTTACTAACTCCTCCTCCTTCTCACTTCACAAGTCTAACATATGTGAACTTGCGCTCCTTGTTCAACAAATCCTTAAGGGAACAATTGCCTACAGTATATGTATGTGGTTCACTAGTTTGTGGCTCAGTATGCTGTGAGAACACAGACAATGAGACTTTCTGCATTATAAGTGTATTATCATTCTGTTAGACATTCTTTATTTTAGTGATCAGTTGATAAAATGAAAAATAAAAACATTGTAATGGTGGCCATATTCCTCAGTAAGCCAGACTGGCTAGGTTCTCATCATAACGCTGAACTTACAGGTTAGTCAACTGCAGTTTACTTAGCCTGTTGTCAAACCCAAACCATGGGATCAGTTTACTATCCCATGCAAAACTAGAAAATTTAATTAGGTAAGCCATGAATATGCAATAGTTTGGGTTTAAGAGTGCTTCTTCCCCAATAGATGTATATAGAGTTCCTTCACTTGTAACATTTGTTCCAAGAAGGAACTTCAGCAAATGTAGGGTTCCATGAATAGTTTTTAAAGGTAGAAGAGGTCTATCCTCCTTTATACCCAGTGGTAGTAGTTCATGTTTTGCCAACATGGCTTTTTCAGTTATAGTTCTGTTTGTGTGTAATATGCAGTTTGATCCAGAATTTTTTTCTGATGAATTAAATCAAGACTGCTGAAATATAATCTATAACTTTAAAAGCAAAAATTGAAGGGTCCCTTAAAAGCATATTTTGGGTTCCTCAGTAATTCTGCGTTATAGCAATATTCCGTGAAAGTATATACCAAACATGGAAATGATCTCTGCTGTACCTAAATCTCCATAAGGACACTGAAGATATAAGTTTGGCCTGTGCAGATCAGACACATATGGTCTCTGCAATGTCTTTCACAATCAGGATTCTATACTTTGTAGATTTCTTAATAGCTGAGTTTTCTTTTCAAAATTGCTGCTTTTCCTAACAGGCACAATAATTATGCCGCAGACAGATAAACAAGTATGTATTCCTCCAGAGCTTCCAGATTTGCTGAAGCAGTTTACAAAAGCTGCTATTCGAACTCAGCCTCCAGACCTGATTCAATGGTCTTCTGAGTAAGTTGAATATTTTTGCCAAATATATTTGCTTAACATCAGTATCATGCTTATTTAAAAGTTACTCAAGCCTAAATTGTTATCAGTTATAGTATTTTGCATGTCAATTCTTATTTGTCCTGCATTTAAATTATTCTCTCTCTCTCTCTCATACACACACACAAAACACACACTATCACATATTGTACGATTTTACACACACAAAACACACACTATCACATATTGTACAATTCTAGATATATATTTAATATATACTATGCTGTAATTTTTGAGATATACTCACTACTGAGTATATCCCTACTTAATGATGCATAATATTTGTTATGCATCATTAAGTCTTTTAGTCAACAACATAATTGTAAATATATTATACAGTTCAGACATTCGCATCCCCAAAGGGCACACCTATAAAACATCACAGATATCCTTTACATTTTTAGTTGTTAACAAACTAAAGAGTTATTTTAATTTGCTATCCATCTATTTATTCTCAAACATGCTTTACTTTTACATTGCTTTTTAATTCATTCACCAACCAGCTTTAATTCATTCAGCAACAGAATAGTGCTTTGAATGTGCTTATGATAAAACTGGGCTTTGGGTGTGCTTGTAGTACACTAGGCAAAATATGCCAAAATAGACCAATATTTATACTATTGGCAGGGAATGCTGAGTCTTGCGTGAGTATGACTAAGGCTATTAACCTATTAACTAAGGCTATTAACCTCAATGGAACTGCATCTATATGGAGGGAAGTGTGTAGTGGGGTGCCCCAGGGCTCTGTTCTGGGCCCAGTACTCTTCAACATCTTCATCAATGATTTGGATGAAGGTATAGATGGGGAACTCATCAAATTTGCAGACGACACCAAGCTGGCAGGAATAGCCAACACTCCAGAAGACAGGCTTAAGATACAGAAGGATCTGGACAGACCTGAACACTGGGCACTAACTAACAAAATTAAATTCAATGGTGAAAAAAGCAAAGTTCTACATTTAGGCAAGAAAAACCAAATGCACAAGTACAGCATAGGTGGCACCATGCTCAATAGTAGTAACTGTTAGAGGGACCTCGGAGTCCTAGTAGACAATCACTTAAATATGAGCCAGCAGTGTGCTGCAGCTGCCAAAAAGGCCAACACAGTGCTAGGCTGCATTAACAGAGGGATAGAATCAAGATCACGTGAAGTATTAATACCACTCTTCAATGCCTTGGTAGGCCACACTTGGAATACTGCATCCAGTTTTGGTCACCACGATGTAAAAAAGATGTTGAGACTCTAGAAAGAGTACAGAGAAGAGCAACAAAGATGATTAGGGGACTGGAGGCTAAAACATATAAGGAACGGTTGCGAGAATTGGGTATGTCTAGTTTAACGAAGAGAAGGACAAGGGGGGACATGATCGCAGTATTCCAATATCTCAGGGGCTGCCATAAAGAAGAGGGAATTAAGCTATTTTCCAAAGCACCTGAAGGCAGGACAAGAAGCAACGGGTGGAAACTAATCAAGGAGAGAAGCAACCTAGAACTAAGGAGAAACTTCCTGACAGTGAGAACAATTAATCAGTGGAACAGCTTGACTCCAGAAGCAGTAAATGCTCCAACACTGGAAGTTTTTAAGAAGAGACTGGACAGCCATTTGTCCGAAATAGCGTAGGGTTTCCTGCCCGAGCAGGGGGTTGGACTAGATGACCTCCAAGGTCCCTTCCAACTTTACTACTATTACTAAAACCTACTTATTCCTTTTTTATTGTTACATTTTAAAATGTGTGCTGAATTTCTCTATGGAATTTAAAAGGAAGCTGAGTTGTATTACTTTTCTCAAAAAGCAAAAAATAATAATAATAGCACAAATTATTTGGAACTTATAAAAATCAGTTATGAATACATTTATTTGAGTATCAGTTATATTCGTGTCAGTTTATTTCAGTAGAATACAATGCTGGGCTTTATAAGGCAACAAAAATTCTGATACAAGCCATTTAAATTCCAGACTTTTCTTCCTAAAATTATTTCATTGTGCTGAAAATCTCATGGGCAGCCTGAGTGTCTCTTGAAAAAGTCCTCACAAGATTGTGGTAGAGAAGCACCTATGTGGTACAAGGGGTTGCTACTGGAAGAAATATATTTTCCTCCCCCTGCTTTGAATATTTCCATTTCCATTTTTGGAAGAAGCGCCTTTCCATATTTTCAGATATATTTGTTAACTTCCCTCCTTGATTCCTGCATCATGTAAAAAGCATCTTTGAAGAGACAATCTTGATTGGAAAAGATAAAACAAGACAGAATTCATGCTTCTGTCTCCCAATGCCACAATTCCAATCCAAATCGTTCACATTTCTACATGATGTAACTTTGGGGAAAAAAAACCAGGAGATTTTACAGCACACACCATATTTTTGGGGGGGGGGGTTCCTTTATTTTGTAGTATTTTATCTCCAGTAATTCTAATGTGTGGGGGGTTTTTTTCGTATAATTCAATTTTCTTGAAGTACTTGATCTCTTCTACATTACTGGGTGCATTTATAATATACAAAGTTTCCTTCATCTTTTTAACACATTTAGATCCATAGCAGCATCAATACTTTCAGACCATGTTCTTTTGTTAAAATATGTACTATTTATATTCACAATTTGTAAGCCACCAATCAAACTTCACTCAGATTTTTTTATTATAGCTCATCCTGATCTTCAGTTAGCTGCTTATAAGCCTGAAAATAAACAGTCTTCAAATCAAAAAACAAAAATATTAGTATGTTGAACCTGATGCAAAAGATTTGAAATAAGAACAATATTTTTTAATAAGTCAACTTAATTACAAACAAGTGGAAGCTTTTTGAGTGTCTAAGCAACTAATCAGCCAATGTCTCACGTATATTTATGCTAAAATCTGTTGATGAAGGGAAAACACCTATTTTGTCTTTGTGTTCAGCTATTTTAATGCGATGGCCCGTGGAGAGGCTCCTCCTGTAAGAGAACGAACAGATCGAGTGCCTTTATCAAATTATGCAGAGCTTACTCCAGAGCTTTTGAAGGTCTTACACCAGAGAGTAAGAAACATCTACTTTCCATTTTGGGGCAAGAACATAAGAGATTTGAGTGTTTGTGTGTTCATGCGTCCAATTACTTGCGTCTTTTGGGGTTTTTTTAAATAAATTTGATTCACCTGCTTTAGAATTAATTTTAGGTGCATTGCCTTTCTTGTATACATGGTATACAAGAAATTCTAAGTGCACTGCTAAGGGATTAAACAATAGCTCATATTTTAAATATTATTTTAAAAGATTCCTAGAGTTCATTAACATTTGTTTAATATCGTCTTGTGTAGCTTTTAATATACAGTACAAGAAAGAAATTCATTTTGCAAGTTCCAATTTTGAAAAAGGAAACACATATGACAACTCACCAAAATGATATACAACTCCGTAGGAGTTAGCAGCTCATTCATAAGAACTTGATCATAACTACCTGAAAGAAATGTGGGAAGGCAGCATTCTAATGTTCTCGGCATCACATGGGTAGATACAAAGATCACTACTCATGATCTGTACTCATTAACAGTTTGGCATTAATTTGGATCACACATATATGTGATAAAAGAAAAAAAAAGGATACGCTGCTAGATGAGACAATGAATCTGGAAATGTTGAGCTTAAAACATGCAGCCAAAATAATTTGTAACTTTGTTTTACATTTAACCATAACTGATTCTAGCAGCAACTGTATGAGAAGTTACAAGTACAGGTAGCCCTTGACTTACAACAGTTCATTTAGTGACCGTTCAAAGTTACAACATCGCTGAAAAAAGTGGCTTTTGACGGTTTTCACACTTACTACCATTTCAGCATCCCTCTGGTCATGTGATCAAAATTCAGACGCTTGACAACTGGGTCATATTTCTGATGGTTGCAGTGTCTCGGGCTCCTGTGATCACCTTTGGCAATCTTCTGACAGGCAAAGTCAATGGGGAAGCCAGATTCACTTAATAACCATGTAATAATTATTAATAATAATAACTGCAGTGATTCACTTAACAGCTGTGGCAGGAAAAGTCGTAAATGGGGGAAAACTCACTTAACCGATGTCTCGCTTAGCAACAGAAATTTTGGGCTCAATTGTCATACATTGAGGACTACCTATACAATAAAACCTAATGGATGCTCAGGTAGTGAATTCAAATAGAATGGACAAAGTTTCTGTTTGGATATCTCCTCTGAAATAACATCACATCCAAAGTAGTCCAGTAAGGCCATTAATTTTATGATATCTGCAGCTATTTAAATCATTTATAGACATTTATACAACCTCCATAATGATATCCTCACAAAACTAGTGTAATTCGATGCAAATCACATACTTTGGAAATAATGGGCATTTGGGAATACCAGACAACTTCTCCATCCAAGTAGTCCATTAGAAGTTTTACTGGACTCACTCGTCCTGACTGCCTGAATGTTGTTCTTTTTGTAGCTATTTCTGGAATAAGGAATTTGTTCCCTTTACAAATATTTGGGAGAGAAAATAGAAATAATGCCTGAAGCATTTCATGTATACCTATGACCTCTTGGTTTCTAAATCCTATGTTAATATACATGTATAAATCTTACTATTTGGTTAATCTGATTAATTTCTTCTTGGAGGAAGTAGGTAGCTTTCAGAGTTGAAAGTTTATTCAAAATCCCAATGTTCAGTCATAGACGTTCTTCCTGGAAAACTATGTAGTGCATATAGATTGCTATAGCATGTGAAAACACATATGATTCATTCTGATCAAATCTGGAAAAGTTTGCAAGGCTGGGAGAGGAACTTACATTGCTATGACACTTAATTGAAGACTGTAATTCTTATTGAGGACCACCACTGTTGCTTGATAGTTTACAAAATATATATATACCCCAAATTAAAACCAGAGTTGTTAGTAATAATTACACATATAATTAAAAAGTAAATGCCTGTTTTTAAAAGCAAGATTTCAAAGCCTGTTAAAATTAAAAAAAAAAAAAAGTGTCTCCGAAAGAACTGGGATTTTCCAAGTTGTCATGAATTGAATTCAGAGCCACTGTAGGAAAATTCTCCCTAGGATGATTTCTGTGAATAAGGGAGGATCTTCCTAAAAACAGATGTTCTCCCAAGTCTTGTGAACCTGAAACTTATTAACTTTAAAGATAATAAACAGCAAATATTTTGCCCCTCCCACAAAATCTGCTGTAATAGTTTTAGCATTGAGGTAATGCCATCTTTGTATTCTTCCAAAGACCAGCTTGAGAATAATATCAATTCCAATTTTTACCAGCTCCAGCTCCACGTAAAGAATACTACAATAGTTGATTTTCAAGCTAGCAACACATGGATCACCATTTTACAATCATTTTCTTTTTAGAAGGGATATGGTTGTTATATCAACCACAGCTGATGAGAAATCTCTGGGCTGTTGTCTCTACTGCATGTGAGAAACCAAAGATGCAAATTCAAAAGACTTTCCATATTGCATACATACTCCTTAGAAGAGAAGGTGGCACCATTCAGAACAGGGACATCTGCAATCAATCTTCTCTCAGCACCATATTTCATTCTTTCCATCTTGTTATTTTTGGTACATTGAAATCTATGCCCCAGCAAAAGAGAGGGTCTTCTAGGTTAAATCTCAAATGCTAAAATAATTTTTGAGATCATACCTCAATTGATTAGTTTCATTTGCTTGGGTGAAAGAACTGCTGATCCCTCCGTCTATTTTCAGTTCGGGGCCATATTCTGAATGGACTCTCCTCCAGGCATGGGTATCAATGATGCTAAGCCTAAACAAACAAATAAGATACATTATGACTTAGTATAGTGATGGCAAACCTTTTAGAGACCGAGTGCCCAAAAACCGCACCCCCACCCCCGTCCCCATTCTGTCCTGCCTCTGGGCCACCCACCACCTCCACGGCCCGCCACAGATCACCCAGGCAGCCCAGCAGCACCATGGTGGACACGCCCTCCTTTAGATCATGCCCCGCAATATCATCTATGTGCAACAGGGCGCAAGGGTGTAGTCTTGTCCTTGCTGCCCGGCTACCATGTCCTTGGTTGTGCTGCTTTGGGTGGGCCGTGCCCGGGGGCGACTCTCCTCTGGGGGGGCTGCTGGTGAGGAGAGGGCCATGGGAGAAGGCGGGGCTGGAGCAACAGTGCCTGTGCCCACAGAGAGGGCTCCGAGTGCCCCCTCTGGCAGGCGTGTCATAGGTTCACCACCACTGACTTAGTACATTATGTGGAGACCACTCTCATTTTGCTCATTATGGTATTTTTGTCCCATTCTTTGCTTCAAAAGAGTAGTAACACAATTGCAAAAATGATCAACGGTTACACATACATCCCAGTTTTCTTAATAATGCCTCAGTTCTGCTATCCTTACAATGCATTTTTAAAACCTTAAGAAATGCTTGCAACTATAAACCTATATTGATTTCTTCACTTATAATGGTTATTATTTCTTTTCAGGTGGGTGGGAGGCTAATTATCCATGTTGATGAACTAGCCCAGATGTGGAAGGTGCTGAATCTCCCTACAGATTTATTTGAAAGTATCATGAACGTTGGACGTTTTACTGAAGAAATTGAATGGCTCAAGTTTTTGGCTCTGGCCTGTAGCTCTCTTGGAGTTGTAAGCTTGTTTTTTTTTTTTTTAGTTGTTTCCTTTTCTTTTGATTTACAGCATGTTTGTAGTATTTAAATTCTCTGTAGGCGATTTGTCTGCTTTTTATAATGTAATGAATTGTACATCATAAAGACTTTTAAACACCCTTGACACTGCTTGTCCAATATTTGTTAGCATTTTAGATTTACTCAAGATTCAAGACACTCTAGGAGGAGAACCATGTTTATCTATAGAAACCCAAAATCAGAATGAACGTGGTAGCACCTTTTCTGATTAACACATCTTATTAACCAACATTTACTTTAGTGCATGGAATGGCTAAACAGATGTAGGATTTAAATTAAGATGAGGGGAAGGCATGGAAGACAGGTTGTTTATGCATATGTATGTTACAAGTGAGACAATTTACAAATATTTCCCCACCATCACTTTATCCTGATTTAAATTCTACTTTTTGTCATTCCATAAATCAAATGAAGTAAACTTTAGTCAAGAAAGGTTATGCTTTTTAATAACATTTGTAAATTTGAAAAGATGCTTCAAGACTCCTTCTGATCAGAAATCAGGCCTCGCTTGGTGGTTAGTCAGGTTGCCCAGAGCTGCTTCTATCAAGAACATCCGTTTTAATAAGGAATTTGGTCTTCAATGGGTTATACTGAAGATGTTTATCTGTTGTAAATATGGCAAAATCTTGGAAACTACAGTATATGAATTTCCGAACCTCATTTTTAGTGAATTAATTGTGGTTGCAAAGTGACAATTGTGTGTGTGGGTGTGCGCATTAATATAAAGATATTTAAAATTAAATTGCATTCCTAAGTTTCTATCATGGTATTTATTAGTTTCTCCCAATCTTTTTTTGTACCTGTATCTTGTTTACACAACACTGTCCTTTATTTTCACAATAATGCTATGTATCAGATGACCACTACAGAATCCCTAACTTGTTTCACTAGCATGTTTGTATCATGCTGTTGGATCCTCTTGGAGGTATTGGGGGAGATGGGCAGGCAGGGGAGGTACTTGCCATTTCACTACGGTAGATGTAGCTAATCAGAAAACAAACAAATGAAAAGCACCAAGAAAATAGCTAATGCCAAAGGCCTTCATATTTATAGACTCCATTCTAGCCCGGCCTAATCCACCACAGGATTTTGAATTCCCAGGTTTTTTTTTTTTAAGGATAGCTGAATTACACATATGACAACTACTTGCTCAGTCACTAATTCTAATAAATGTCATACCCTTTCTCTTTCTGAAAACAGACAATTGCAAAAACTCTGAAGATAATATGTGAAGTTTTATCTAACGAGAATGAAAGTGGTCCAGCTCGTATCCCTTTCAGTACTTTCCAGTTTCTCTATACTTACATTGCGGAAGTGGACGGAGAAATCTCCGCATCTCATGTCAGTCGAATGCTGAATTATATTGAACAAGAGATGTAAGTAAAACTAATATATAAGGTAAATGTCAAAGAGATGTAGCTTATGTTAGCAATAGCAGCCAACCAACGTTAAGTGTGCAGTAGGTTTCAGGGGAAGGCATATAGCTAAGTTATGTGACAAATTCATTTACAGGATTGTACATAGAAAGTTCACATATCAATTTGACTAATATTAAGTAAGTTCACAAATTCTTCCTGAAATCCTATTCCATTTATTTAAATAGGAAATAACTGTATAGGCTGCTTCTTCTGACTGACGTGCAGATGCGTTTTTGAATGCTACTCAATAACTTGGGGAACTCTGAGCTAATCTTTTAACCCACATTTAATGCATTAGTACTTAGTGGTTGTTTTCAGCTATGCTTGTCACCTAGTGCCAATCCAATTAACTTTTCGTCTGACTTTCAAATTTGCTCCAGAGGTTTGAAGGGCTTCCCCAAAATAAGAGGAGGGCATGGAAGGAGAGAGGAAATAAAGGGTCCAGGAAAGAGAGTCCATATTTTGCAAGCAAGAGTTAGAATGAATAGTCATCTGCTATGCAAACAAGAATTCTATCATTACACTTTCTAAAACTATTTTTGAATTGTAACTTTTTAAATCTGGCTTAATACAGAACAATGATGTTATCTAGACAGGTCTCAGTTTAGGAATGATAGATACAGAATTCGCTACTGCTTGCCTACAGCTAAAGAATCAAATATTCTTATATGGCCTACACTTAATGTAGTTGTAAAATCAGTGTCCTGACACTAAATTATTTTGCTAGTTCCTAAGAAAATTTTCAAAATTTATGGGCATTTAAGATCTCATAATCAGAAACTAAGAGAGAGGAATAGAGAGGAGATGGTGTCCATGCTGATATCCTGAAGTTTATGTCATTATAATTTAAAGACAAATAGCGGAAAGAGAAGACTTAGAGGATGCCAGATATTGATTAGGGGAAAACTTGCCTTGACTATAGTTCCTGATTTTTGTAAAAAAAACAAAAAAAAAAACAAAACTGGAATCAAAATAGTACAGAAAGAACAAGAATGTTGCTATAACTTTATGTCAGAAATATTTAGACCAGTGGTTCTCAACCTGTGGGTCGGGACCCCATTTGGGGTCGAACGACCATTTCACGGGGGGTCGCCAAACAAGGCTGTCCGCCATTTTTTTCCCCTTTTCTTTGGCCACGCCCCTGGCACCCGGTGATGTATAAGTGGTTGGGGGTCACCACAATATGGGGAACTGTATTATGGGGTCGCGGCATTAGAAAGGTTGAGAACCACTGATTTAGACTGTGTGTTTCATAAGCAAGAGAACTACTAAAGCCATTTCCCCCATGTTTTCCATACAGCATCGGGCCAGACGGCTTGATCAAGGTGACTGATTTTACCCAGAATCCTCGAGTCAGGCTGGAGTAGATTCTCAGTACATCATACACGGTCACTGTTAGATGGAGGAAGAAACAGAGAATAGAATGACTTAAACAAATAGGCCAACCTCTCAGTCACTTTTTCCCTTTGTGTCTGTTAATAAACAGTTTGGTAAAGCAACCACTAAGAAAGATGAAAGCATAGATTGAGAAGGTGCCAGTAAAGTACAGTACAGTCTATTGTTAATTTTATAGTGTTTTGATATACACGCGTCCACCCAAATAAATATCACAGACTACCAAAGAATATAAACCTATTGAATATATTTGAGGTCCATCCTTCTCCCCTCTTTTTGCATTTCAAATTAACTGGCAAAGATGTTGTGAATTTCAGAAGTTTTATCTACAGAAGAATATTAGGATTTTTCCTACGGTATCTACAGTTACAGAAAGAAAAGAGTAAACTTGGAATCAGGCTGTAAGCTTGCTTTTCTAACATTTCTAAGTGACTAGTAACATTTGTCCAAGTATAGTGGTTTAAAAGTTCCTCATATCGAAAATCTCTTTTATGGGTTCTCTCCATATATCAGCATTCTGAGAGGATATTATTTTATTTAAAACATTTATATGGCTGTCCCTCTTATAGTCAACTCTGGGCAGAGCTTTATAGCAACAATTGTATTGGTTTTCCCCAAGTATTTTTATGTACTGTGAAACAATAGCATATAAACAGTGCTTTAGCTTTTTTCCACAGTAAATCCTTTTAACAGGTAAAACAACTTCTGATGATTTCATGCCAAAACAAACTAGAGAAGAAGAAAAAACCCTTCTAAATGCTCTGGCTTGATTTACAAATTCACAACAACATTGGAATGGATTTGAAATACTGTATTGTGTTCATCCACCTACCGAGTTTGTAACTATGTCTATATTTAATATATCGTATCAATCCCGTAATTTTTGGCTTAACAAACAATATTTCTTAAGTTAAGCCACAGCTGAATTATGGTTAAAGTGAACAAAGAATAGGTTGAATATTCCATTCCCACAGCTTTTTTTTTCTACAGAATATCTTTTACAAATTGGCAATATAAGGGGCTATGAATAGTTGCACCCAAAATTTAAGTGAGACATTTAAGTGATTGTTAAATGAATTTTGTCCTATTTCATGACCTTTCTTAGCATAGTTGTTAAGTGAATCACTGCAGTTGTTAAATTAGTAACATAGTTGTTAAGTGAATTGGCTTCCTCATTGACTTTGCTTGACAGAAGGTCACAAAAGGGGATCACATGATCCTGGGACACTGCAACCATCATAAACATGAGTTTATGTTGGCAACTGTGCCAAGCATCTGAATTTTGATCATGTGACCATGGGGATGCTGCAACGGTCATAAGTGTGAAAAACAGTCATAAGTCACGTTTTTCAGTGCCGTTGTAACTTTGAACAGTCACTAAATGAATTGTAAGTTGAGGACTATCTGTAATCAGCTAAAAATGAAAAGATTGAACAGTTTCCCCCTACGTTTTAGGAAAGCAGAATTATAGGTCTATTGGGTTTTTGCCTTTTGTCTTCAATAAGAGATGTGATGTTAAAACAGCTATATCAATTGTGTTTTATGCATAAATTAATCTTTTTATGCTATCTTGGGGATCAGCAAAGTTTTTCTTCTCTAGAAATCAAAATCTTTTGGATTTGGTACAGAAAGATGTATCTCCTGCTTTACTGAAAAGGACTATGCTTCCATGGAATATGGCATCATATAAGATATTCCACCTTTATGGTGAGCACATGAATTTTAGACCTTACCCTCTGAAGACTGGTACCTGGGTCTTGCTTATTAAAAAAAGGCACTGAAATTTGATATAGCCTAATATCTGGCCATATTAGGTATATCATTTGGTGTGTCACTTTCATGCTATTTTAAACAAGTGTTTTGCTTCATAATAAAGTGACAATAACAATGGTAATGTTTCTACAGCTGAGAATGGTGCCATCTTAGATCTTAAACTGGAAATATGGTGCCATCTTAGATCTTAAACTGGATTTGTTCCCAAGGTATCTATTGTAATAATCTCCAACTGTTCTTTCACCTTTTGGTCTCAATATTTCAGACTATACTCAGGGACTTATATCCCTATCTTTACTCCCAGAAAGCTGCCTCTATTCCATTGAGCACAAAATCTTGGAGGGCAGCGATGTTGTATGAGGGGATGTTCTCTCAAAACTATTTCCTCACTAACGCTAACATCTTTCAGTATTCACCAATCATTGAGAGGATATAAAGCCTGTCCTCCTTCATGCTATTTTGGACAACAATTACTGGATAATGCTGTAAGATGCAGTGAAGGACTAATTAATAAAGAGCTTAATGACACTATACACAATCTTCTTATTTGGAGGGAGTGGATCTTGGCCAGATACAACCTGATGGGTGTCTGCTGCCCCCCCCCCATTATTTCTACTTATGGCACCAGCTTGCATTTGCTTCTCTTCAAAGTCAATTGCTGAAGAAAGGGAACAGTGTCAGCAAATATCTACTGGTACTAATTTAAGTTTTTGATGTTGAAATGTCATCCCTACTGATTCTTCATTTCTTTCCTTGAGATATTTCATTCACATTAGGTCCTCCCTAAATGGTGAGTCTGAGTTGCTAAATCACACACATTTGTGCTCATGCCGATGCCTGATCAGATTCCATGGTCTGCTAGTAATGGGCAGTCAGTAATGAAAGATTCCTGTTTGCAAAAAGCAAAATTGCTTAAGTCAAACTTAATTTCTAGTGACCTCATGGACACATCCCCACAGTTCAGATGTGCTTTATCAATACATTGTTCCAGAATGTTTTTTTCAACTTTCCAGCCTACAGCTCCATTGCCAGGTATTTGCCCATCCACAGACTAACCAGAACTAACCTGCTTAATCTTTCAAGAACTGCTGCTGCTCCCACCTACCTACACACTATTTAGGTTAACACTCTGTCTGTGGTTTATCTCAGAAGTTAAACATTAGTAAACATTGGTTGTATTTAGATGGGGAATTCCAGTGTTGGGAAGTTTAAAAAATATTCCCCAAAATGGCAGTGGCAAACTAATTTCCTAATGCTGTCAAGGAATCCACATGGATATGGTCACTAGGCATCAAACTTGCCACATTTAACTTTTGAACACACCGTTTTGTTCCAAACTTGCCCAAAAATCTCAGGTTGGTGTCCCAAAGAAACATGAAGAAAAATATTTTCTGATCATTTAAATTTTTTAAAAAAGGTAAACTAAACATTCTTCAGTATTAGCAAAATCACTCTGTTTTACTGGAAAGAATCGTTTTCTGAATTAATCAAGGGAAGCACTTTGAAACGTATGAACCCGGCTTTGGGTAACAAACTAATGTTATGAGGGGACTTTGGTGCTCTCTGAGTTTGCTTGTTTTCTTGCAGACGTTTCATTATCCTAATTAGGTAACATAATCAAGACTAGCACTGGTGATGTTACCTAGTTAGAGTAATGAAACGACTGCAAGAAAACAAGCAAGCTCGGAGAGCAGCAAGGACCCCCGATTTCAACCGAGTTACAAATATTCTCCTTCACTGAAACTAATGTTACCTTTTGGCAAACGATAACAACGTTCTGGCACCTCAAAGGGAAACAGCGCGTTTGTACACTGAACGGCATTTCCCTCTGCAGAAGCTCGACACAAATCATTCCTAAAATTTCGCACCTCCATAGCTGCCTCTCAACCATTATGACATGAATTTCTATAGTTTTTCATTGGACACATACGAGTCAGCTCTGGCTCTATATAACATAATTCCTTCAACAGCAAGATCCATCCATCCATAGCCGGACAATTCCTATCCACGCATATATAGGAACCCACCGCCTCTAAAACTGCAATCAGAATCGTATAGAATCCGCTAAGTCTAAGAAAATCAACTGAGCCGCGCCAAATTTGCATACCGCTGCCCCGATTGGTCTAACGTCACCGCGGTTCCCACCAATAAGCGGCGCGCATAATCCCATTTCTCCGCCCACTCGTCCATTCCCGGTCTGACGACCGCCGCCTCGCAATGACGATAGAAAATGGGCGGGCGCCTACCTTAGGCCCTTCCCCCTGAAGAGCCGTTGGGGGTTGCCAATCGTGTCTAGGGACGCGCGTGACCTGGCGGGCTTCCCCACCAGGAGCGAGGATGGCGAGGCCGGGCTGCTTGAAGCACAAGGTAAAGCTGCTTACTCGAGGAGCGCCAGAAATTGCAGGGAAGAATAAACCCATTTTGGAAAAAACAAAAAACTCTGATTGAAGGAACCCTTATAAAGCCCCTGTTCATTGCCGTCAAGTGTTAAGATCTCCACAGAGTGGAAAGAAACCTTTTGCAAGACGTATTTTGCTTTTGGCGGGTTTTTTCCCCCCTTTGGTTGCAGCAGAACAGGTGGCGGGGTTTTTTTGTTTTGTTTTGTTTTTTGAGAAAGAAAAGTCATCGCCGAAACAGCAACAGTTAAACTCTCTGAATAGGGTGTGCAGTTCGCTTTTGATAATGGAATTTAGAACAGAATTGAAAGAAACAAAATGCAAGTTCTTAAATGACACAAAACTGCAACGGTTTTAGGGTGAGATGCAGATTTGGATTTCTTCCAGCAGGCAGCGTCTCTTTTCAGAAGGAGGAAGCCTGCATTCAACACCTTTTTAAAAAAAAAAAAATAACGATAAAATAAGGCTAACTCATTTGGTAAGCCACCCAGAGTCGCTTCAATAGTTTGATGTGCAGCATATAACATTAATAAATAAATACATTGACTAGTGTGTGTATCTGGAGTGAGGAATTAAATTTAAGCATCTAAAAGTTCTGACTGCACCACATTGTGTTGCTGAAGTGAAGACCATTTGCAAGAAGCAGGAGTGGCCTTTTGGACAGAATTGTGAAATTTCATCAGTTTGAAGGAAATTGTTGGACTCAAAATTCTTTTAAGTTTATCCCACTTGCCTTTGGTTGGATCTCAAGATTCTGGTAAAAAAGAAAATCTACAACTGTGTTGATCTCTGGGTGGCACAGTAACTGTAGTCTAGTGTCTGCAATGAAGGGAGCAGAGAAAGGCCATTCAGACAAACATCTAGAAGTGGTACCAGTAGTTCAGGCCTCTTTATACAAGGATCCCCCAACAACCCTGTGAGATCAGAAAGAGACAGAATGGTCCCAAGTCCTTAGTAACTTGCCTGCTTGAGGGTGGATTCTTGACCCTTTAACCATTACATTTAACACACCGGAGATTAGGTTAAAGGAGGCAAGATAACAACAACAACAGGACAAT